TCCTTTGACATTTTTTTTTCTGATTAGTTATACCCTGTCTTGTAGTCTTTTTTTGTTTTGTTTTTGTATTTTTTTTCTGTTTATTTGTTCTATATTGTGATTGTTTTCTTTGAAAATGAAAAAAATCCGTCTTGTTTTGTTTCGAAATATAAAAACACAGGCCTGAAAACGAATCGGTTACCTAACGTAACCTCGGTTCTCTCTAGATGAGGGAACGAGTATCTTTGCTGAGAAGTTGAAGCCAAAAAATTATTCCATAATTTTGTAATCATTGTCAACGCAGTATCTCTGAGGCAGACCATGAGCGGGGCTAGCTAGCAGCTCATTGGTTCGCTCAGAGAAAATGCACGAGCCTATGGGAGAGCGGCGCTGAGCCCGCAGCCAATGAGCGGACGGCGCTCGCTCATTGCGTCAGAGCCCGCCGAAAGGGGCGTGCCTATAGTGTATAAAACTGGCTCTCCCAGGCTCAGTCGTTGATTTCTTTCAGCATGAAGCGAAACGCTGGTGGCGCAAGCACGGCCGGGAACGCAATACTCGTTCCCTCATCTAGAGAGAACCGAGGTTACGTTAGGTAACCGATTCCAATAGTGCAACTTCTTATAGGAGAGCTGTATAGTACTAGACCGCCAGTAATTTAGCCTGTAAGGCGGGGACTTCCAAGTTATAGAATCTGACAAAGGTGGAGGGGGAGCCCCATCCCGCAGCCACACAAATGTCGTGAATGGAAATTCCGCAGGACCATGCCCACGATGAGGCCATGCCTCTGGTGGAATGAGCCCTGACGCCCAGCGGGCAAGGCAGGTCTTTTGAGGCATAAGCAGAGGCAATAGCATCCACTATCCACCTAGACAGTGTCTGTTTAGAGGCGGCTAGACCCTTGGTGCGGCCGCCGAATGACACAAACAGCTTCTCCGAGCGTCTGAACGCAGCAGCGCGTGTAGTGTACACTCTCAGAGCCCGGACCGGGCAGAGGCGATCAGCGTCACGTTCGCTATCGGATGCAGGCAGAGCCGATAGAGAAATCACTTGCGCCCTGAAGGGGGTACCAATCGCCTTTGGAACATAACCGTGTCTAGGTTTAAGAATGACAATGGAGTCATTAGGTCCAAACTCAAGACACGCGGCGCTTGAAGAAAGCTCGTGAATGTCCCCCACACATTTTACTGAGGCGAGGGCAGTCAGAAAAACCTTTTTTAGCGAGAGGTATTTTAGATCCACGGACTCGAGTGGTTCAAACGGTGGAGCTTTCAAAGCTTCTAGAACTATAGAAAGATCCCAGACCGGCACCGTAGGGGGGCGAGAGGGGTTCATCCTTCTGGCTCCCCTGAGGAAGCGGGTGATTAGCTCGTCTTTGCCCAAAGACTGGGCGCGCCGGGGTTCAGCGAACGCCGCGACGGCTGCCATGTAAACCTTTAGAGTGGATGGGGACCTGCCCTTATCCAGCATCTCCTGAAGGAACACGAGCAAAGACGAAACCTCGCAAGTCCGTGGGTCCAAGTTTTTGTCGGTGCACCATCTAGAGAACACAGACCACTTTGCAGCATAGACCTTTCTAGTAGACTCCACTCTGGCATGTTTGATCGTGTTCAGAACTCCTTCTGGCAAATCGACGAGTAGTTGTTGGTCACCCATGCATGAAGCGCCCAGCGCTGTGGATGGGGATGCCAGATTGTGCCGCGAGCTTGAGTGAGGACATCTGCTCTGATTGGAATGGGCCACGGGGCTGTCTGCGACAGCTGCGTGAGCTCCGGGAACCAAATCTGATTCTCCCAGCGCGGGGCTATGAGGAGCACCGGGTGGCGTGTGTCCCTGATTCTCTGAATGACCTGCGGTAGCAGAGAGATCGGGGGAAAAGCATAGAGCGGGCGGCGGGGCCAATCCTGGGCTAACGCGTCCTCGCTCTTCGAAAAGAATATCAGGCAGTGAGCGTTCTCTTCTGACGCGAAAAGATCTATCTCTGCTCTGCCGAATAGGCGCCACAACGTTAGAACTGTTTGAGTGTGCAGGGACCATTCTCCGGGGGAGACAAGGTTCCTGGACAACATGTCTGGACCGTCGTTCAGATGGCCCGGTACGTGCGTCGCTCTGAGCGATAGCAGGTGACTCTGGGACCACAATAGGATGCGGTGCGTCAGATGAAAGAGATTCTTGGATCTGACCCCGCCATGACGGTTGATGTAGGATACCACGGCCATATTGTCTGAGCGTGCTGTGTGGATAGGCGAGCATTCATCGCGATAGAGTTCAAATCTATTCCAAGGAATGTAATAGATTGACTGGGCTGGAGAGAGCTCTTTGTCCAGTTGACAGAGAGTCCCAGCGCTTTCAGATGGTTGAGGAGAACTGCGCGGTGCGACAGAAGCTCCGTCTGAGATTGTGCTAGAATCAGCCAGTCGTCCAGATAGTTTAAAATGCGCAGCCCCTGACTCCGCAGGGGGGCGAGCGCTGTATCCATGCACTTCGTGAACGTACGGGGTGTTAAGGATAGGCCGAACGGGAGAACGGCATATTGGTAGACCTGACCCTCGAAGGCGAAACGTAGGAATGGCCTGTGACGAGGATTTATCTGGATCTGGAAATAGGCGTCTTTCAGGTCTAGAGAGATGAACCAGTCCCCCTGGCGGACGTGTGCGAGGAGTTTTCTGACTGTGAGCATTTTGAACGGTCTCTTCATGAGCGCTTTGTTCAATACCCTGAGATCTAAGATCGGCCTGAGGCCGCCGTCTTTCTTGGGAACAAGAAAATAACGGCCGTAAAACCCCGACACAGTCATAGATGCCGGAACTCTCTCTATTGCGCCCTTCTGCAGCAGCTTCGCTATTTCTGAGCGGAGCGTGTTCATCGCAGCTGGGCTGACAGCGGATTCGAGCCGAACACGCGAACGGGGCGGGCGGCGACGAAACTAATAGATAGCCATTCCTTATGATGCTTAAAACCCACGGGGAGATGCCGGGGATGGCTTCCCACGCTTCGCAGCATGCGGCTAGCGGTTGAATGGCGATTTCGCCCTGATTGCTGCACATAGCGGGCTGAACACTGTGTGTGGGCGCGCTTAGAGTGTGTGTGGCAACGGGACTTACACTCAGAGAGGAGTTTTTGGGCCGTGAGACAGAGCGAGCAGAGGGGGGACACGCGCATGGGCTCGTGGGCGTGTTTATGTTTTCTTCTACTAGAGCGGTCAGTGGCCGCTCTGTGAGAATGGGCTCTGTGGGAGACACGGGGCATATGGTGCTTGTGTGTATGAGTGAACACATGCTTGTGGGCACATTTTTTACACTTGAGGCTTTTATGCTCTTTTTGTAAACTCTCTGGGTAGCCGTGAAAACGGCTTTTTGTCGCTCGCAAGCGGGCAGGGAAACCGGCTTGTTTGTGGCGGTAAACACTACTGTAGTCGGCGAGGCGTCGGGGACTAGCAGAGGACGAAACTTTGACGGCGGTCCGGCCGCAGCGGGAGACAGCCGTCTTTTTCTCAGCTGTGCTAGGCAGACTTTTGCTGATCAGGCTTCAGCGTGATTTTGGGTCGAGGCCCCCGAGGAGGAGGCTGTCTGCGGCGGCTGTCAGAGCGAGGGCGGCCGCCCTGTCTACGCTGGGGCTGCTGAGCTTGCTGAGGTGGGCGCTGTTGCGAGGTTCTGGCAGGGGGCTCGTGAGAGCGGCCTGCAGAAGTGCTGGCGCGGCGGGGCAGGAACAAGTTCATGGCCTGGGTGGCTTTTTGTACTTCGGAGAAGCGGTCGACGATACCCGTGACGGCAGATCCGAAGAGGCCGGTCGGAGAGATAGGCGCGTTAAGGAACACGGCGCGTTCTGAATCTCCCATGTCGGCAAGCGTGAGCCACAAGTGTCTCTCAGCGACACAGAGGGCGGCCATACATCTCCCCAGGGCTTGTGCGGCGCTTTAGTGGTGCGAAGGGAGAGGTCCGTCACGCTTCTTAAATCCGAAAGGATGGGCGGGTTCCTACCGCTCTTCGCCATCTCGCACAAATACAAGTGATCACTTACCTGGGGAAATTGGGGGATCAAATGGGTTACCCAATACACATGTTTCTTTAGTCAATCATTGTACAATGTCATAACACACCATAAACGGATGAAAAAACTAGAGCATTCTCTTTAAAACTGAAAAAAAACGACAGCAATAATACACACAAAAAATAATAAAAATTCAACTCTCCTCAGAAATACTTCTGCCATGTTCTAACAAAATAAATAATAATAAATAATAATAAACAATCTTCAAACCTTCTAAAATAATAATAATAAAAAACTAAAATAAAAGTGTACAGAAATAAAATGCCTGTGGAAAACTGAAAATTGAAAAACTCTTTATTTCAATCTCACAGGTTGAGCTCTTGTTTACAGAATGACTCCATGATTGTATTCGTGTAAGGGACGCAAGAGGGCGTGCATGGTCTTAAATTTGATTTCACTCAAGCCATGTCTGAATTTCACACTGACTATTAAAATGAAACGTTCATGTTCATTGCTATTTTAAGAGGAGACATTTTTAAGAGGAGACAAAGAAGATTTGTTTTCTTTTGCGCTGTTTTTATTTTATTTTTATTATTCATATATTGGTGGTAGGCTCCTGGGAATCACCACTGAACAACAAGCTGACAATGTGTTGTCTTGTTTATGACATTTTCAGTTCCATAGGGAAACGAAACATCAGCAAAAAGTGGTAAACAGAAAACTGTATTTCGACAGACCGTCAGCTAATTTTAAAATCCTACTACGGAGAAGGCTTTGCTCATTATCGAATCGTCGTGGAGAATCGAATCCAGTCACATTACCTACTTAATATTCATGATCCACGCCTTCCATAACAGGATTCGCCAGATAACTGGCTCCCGCCTACCGACGCTGTCTTTCGGGCCAATTAATTTGGACCATTCGTGTTACGTAATTAATATTCATAATTTTAGTCTTCGCCATAGTAGAATCGCTTGCGGTTCCCCGTTACGTTCTGTCAGGGATAGTAATTACGCAAGTGCGCACTCTGAAGGGAAGCTGCAGTGTTCCAGCCCCCTCCTCACACTAATGTTTATGTGCTTTGTCAGCTGTGTCTTCTCTTGCACAAACTCCGGACTTCGAGCCTGAATCTCAAGCTTTATCTTCAACTATCTCAAGCTTTCTTATCACGTCGTATCGCTCTACTGACCCACCCCTTTCGGACCTTGAGCAGACCCAAAGCGGTGCACGTTATTTTCCCTTTTTTTCTAACCCCACCCCCTCAAACTGTGAAACATGACATTAAATTCCAATAAAAACGAACCTTCTGTCACTCTGGAGCGTGTGAACAGCGCGCGAACGGCTCTCTCCGATCTCTATCTGGAACAGCTGCTGCAGAATAAACCTAAGTCTGACAAGGTAAGAGGATTCGCATTAAACAAATCTAACGCGACTCATTTCCTTATTCCAGCATTTACATTTGACAATCGGATGTTGGCCGTGTCTGTCGATAGTTTATTTTTTTTATTTTTATCAGTGTCACTGATATAAGAGTTTCTTCTTGTGTACATGAAGGATGAAGATGTGCTGGTTTAGACCGGTGCAGCCCGGTTTGACATCACACCGCTGCTCACAACTTTCCTCATACCATTAGATGTTTTGACGATTTCAGGGTGAAATAGTTCGCAAATTTCGCATGACTCACATATACAGGCTTTGAATACATTATTGAATATTATTTTGCATGACGCATCGTGACGTCACGTAACGTTAATAGAGGCTGAGAAGTCCGACTCATATCTGCGAATCGGTTCGTTCGAACACTATTAGCTAACCGATATTTTAAAAAAGTTTCGGTGATTCGTTTAATGCCATTACGTTCTTCCAAGTTCCTGTACGTTTTATTTGTTTCGTGTTTTTTTTTTTTTACTGTTTAGCTAGGCCTCCGGAGAATCGCTCAGACAGTCTGCTTTGTGAACAAATCTTTCATAACTATAAGTTTTAGTGAACTGGTTCACCAATTCATTGAAAAAGAGTGATTCATTCACGCTATAGCTACAAGGCAGCTATGTGCGCGTCGTTTCTCTCTCCTGGAACAAATAAATTCATTTTAAGTATGATTTTAAATATTTTAAGCTGATTTGTATTTTTCTTCTCTGTGTCTGAAAACATATTCTTATGCTCTCAGATAATTTAAGACAGGCCTTCTGTTAATAAATAAGGAATTTGTTTTGCTTAAAGGTTGCTCTTTTTTATAGCCCAATACACCTAGTAGAGTTCAGTTAGTTTGTGGATGAACTTTTTTTCTGACATAAGTCTGTCAATTGTGGATATAAGTTTTAATATTTAATGTAGCTAAATAAATTCCTCATAAAAGTCTGTGGACTTTTTTCAGGAGTTAATAGAACTCTGACACTTCATGTAAAGTCTCAATTTAATTTGTGTTCCTTTCTATTTTATACAATTGAGACAACAGTGATCTGATTTATTATTTCTATGGGCTAGCAAATAATCAATATAACATTTATCTTAAAACACAATCATACTTTGACTGATAATTTAATCAGTCATCAAAGTGATGTCTCAGATTCACGTATCAACTCATCATTACCAGTCTCTCTACTCTTTACTTTTATGAGTTAACGCCATTAACTGCTTTTCCTTTAGTTATCAGCATTGCTGTGATTGTTCAAATGAAGTTCATAGATTTGGGATTAGGGATGATCAGATTATTATTTTTCCTGTCCAGTTTCATTTAATTTATTTTCCTTTTTTTTTTTACAACCAAATGAGCTGATTGCAATACTAGCCTAATTGCCATTTTTTTTCTTTAAGCAACAGTGAAGAGATTGCAAATTACTTTTTTTAGAGCAAACAAATGCAAAAATTACATAAAATCAAAATAAAATAATTTGAAACATTATGTTATGCAATCTAATCTCAATGTAATTTTAAGATAAAATGAAATTACAATCCTACACAGAATAGCCTATATTGCCTTTATTCATGGCTTTTCTTTCAGTATGTAATATATTCTTCTTTTTTTTTTTTTTTACAAAAACAAGCATTTCAACTTTGTCACAAGCTAGACTTTTTCTTTTCTCGTCCAATACTGTTCTTCTGGGTGATGGACTTTAATATGTCAGATCAAATTTGTCGTGCCCAAATGTCTTCACTGTAATTCCTCTGCAATTAACTTGACATAACAGCTTGCAAACTTAACATCCTGTTCACAGACTTTGTAATATGATATTTTGGGAAATTATTACAATGAAGTTTCTTTGCATGGGTCTACTTCCAGAACCTAGATTAGCCAAAAAAAAAAAAAAAACATAAATAAAGAAATAAAGAAATGAAAAAAGAAGAAAGATTAAAGGCCGGTCAAATGGTGCCCCTCAACCTGGGACATTATGTTCGAAATTGTAAAGACATTTACAGTTGTGAAGGTCTAGTTCACTAACAAGGTTAATGATAACATTTTCAAGACTGGATGATGGTGACAGTACTCATGTGGCGAGGATTGGATTAGTAAACACAATAGATATGTTAACTCTGGTTTGCTAGTTAGTCTTCTTGGTCCAATGTGTGTTGTCCAATAGTTTGCGGGAGACCCACTGAAAGTTCGCATTATGAATTTTCCCCCTGCACTTCAAACTGAAATGAACAGCTGACGTTTATGTCTGTCTCTGGGGCTCTCTTGCTGGAAAATGTTGCACATTATCCTTTTGGCCCTGTTTACACCTCTGGTGTCACAATTAGATACATTCCCATGCATACCACTCTACAGATAAAGCGTTGTGGAAATTTCGGTTTGCGTACCTACCCCGAATTGATAAAATAAAATTCTGTATCAAAATTTATAGGCAAGACAAGTAGTTTGTTTAGGCATGGTTTTAGGGAATTACTGTACAAACCTGTGCACATTTATTCAAATGCATATAACTATAGAATTAATTCTTAGTGCGGATGTGAACGCCATCAGTGTTTATCACAGGTCCATGTTTAAAGTCGGTTTAGAGAGAACGGTGTTGTCTTAGCGGCCCCTAATTTAATAACATATGATTATTGAGTAAAAAAATTGGCTGGAAAATAACATTATTCAAGAACCGCTATAAAACCAAACCAATCTCTGTTACCTTAAAGTATATGTTTGTAAAGCTGTTTTGTATAACATATATTAACATGTATATATAATAATATAACATGTGTTCGTGGTTTTTCTTGTTTAAAAAGTATCATTTTTCTTAAATTTCACCTTTATTGTACCTTTCACCTTTATCCATTGTTGACGAAGTACAGCGTCCGTGGGAAGCTCGAACACAGAAGACCTGACAGCTGGGTGAACACAACACACTCGACGAGCCGCAGAAATACGTGCATGCCCTTTCCTGCATATTCCAGAGGGAGGGGTTAATGCAAATGTATGGGTTAGTGACATCTGAAACCCAGCTGTAGTCCCAATCGAGTCGTTTTTATATGCAATACTTACATAAATTTTGCACAAACATTAAACCACGGAGACGCACAGCCGCATGCGCGAGCAGTCTACACAAACAAAGCACGCGTGAGGATTTGAAAATTGAAAACAGTCTTCCGTTAGTGAGGTTCATATTTTAAATATATAAGTCCACTGCATTCCAAATACATAAATGATGACTTCGTAGAGCATTCGTAAGGATAATATACCGACGGGCGAGACCGCACACTTCAAGTGTAACATCAAACAAAGTGCACGTCTCTTACAGCGCGTGCAATGAAGTCTGTGAATGTCCTCGTAATTTGCTTCAATCTTTCCGAACTTTATGAAAGATTATTTTACGGAAGGTTCGAGTGGTGTGTGTAGGCCTATGTGAGGAATTGGAAGCAAGCAGAATAAAGGTGTTTCCAAAGCAAACTCAGCGTCATCACACATATGGTTAAAAACTAAACTCAGAATCGATTCTGAAATTCTCAGAATCGATCCAGAATCTTTGGAGAGAGAATCGCGATGCATCGATGGATCGATCTTTTTCTCCCACCCCTAATGTAAAGACTGTAACTTAAGTACTTGGTATGACTGTGGCGAGCAGGACGAGGCCGAGGGCCGTGGGAGAACGGCGCAAGGCCGATGGCGCGATTGATAATGTGTGACAGGAGCCAGGAGCCGGCCTCTTGGTTGAGCATCCAGGCCCCTTTTCGAGATGCCAGCCCGCCAAACTCGGCACTCATTTGGGGCGGTCTTTAGTCCGGCGGCTGTCCTCTGCTCTTTAGCCTGTTGACGGGAGTACTCTGGGTTCGTGCCTAACTCCGAGCTCGGAGCCCTCACCCCGGACAGCACGCCAAATACATTATAAGTTGCATTTTCAGTTGAATTTAGGGAAAACACTTGTTGTGTTGACTTGTTGAGCTATTTCAATTACTTTTGTTTCATTGCAAACATCTGAAAGTCTGTACATTTTGCCAATAAACCTGAAAAATATAATAAATAAATAATAACTTAATAAATAAAACTATGTGTATGCTTCTTGAGTAATTTCTATGCTATGGATGAAATAAGCTCACAGAACTTTAATATGCTTTCATAATGAGGCAACCGAAAAATAAGACTAGGCACTTTTATTTATGCAATAATATCCGCAAGACCCTGTTGAAAGCTGTGGGTTCCCGTTAGAAGTCAGACTTGGTGGAAGAACATTGTGCTCGCTATGATGTCCATCGACTAGGATGCAATGATTCTTTTTTATTTTTCAAAAAAATTTTTTGCTTCAACGCGGTAAAATTTAAAAACCACCTGACCAGTGCGCTTCCCAACAACATGTCCCACAATGATTACGCTTTAGGTCAGTAGGCGGAGAGTTGTCCTTTGCAACTGTTAGAACACATTCGGCCAAATGAGAGTTTATAGTACAAAAGCAAACCGGTCAAATGTGTTTTTGACTAACTTTGGAAGTGGTTGAAAGTGGGCAAGTTCAAAATGTTTTAGACACCATTTACATCTGTATTTAGCTTCATCCATTTGTGATTGGATCAACAAATATGTTTAAAAAATAAAAAGCTTAAAATATGCTCTAAACAATTTGTTTTTTTTTAGATATATTGGTGTAGCAATAGATAGCCAATAAATCTTTTTATAGTCAGTATACTAAAATCTAATGTTCACAATAAAGCTTGACTGTGTAATTTTATGTTTCTACTAGACCCCGACCGATAAAGGATTTTGAAGGCCGATACCGGTTTTAAAATCCGATATATCGGCCGATTTTTTTTATTTTTTTATTTCAGAAACGCGCAAAACATTAACAGATTTCCCTAACGTTAGTTATTTATTAGTTTTAACTAAAATAATGCATTTTAAAAAGAAACTTGTTTCTTTTATTTTCACAACAGAACAGACTGATGATAGGGGCATTAGCTAGCTTTGTGGTTAGCTTTAGCAATGG